TACAGAACGCTGAGGCTCCTGTAGAGCGATGTGAGATTTGTAATTATTCAACTGGAACTACGGCTAGGCTTGAGAGTATGGCGCGAATCGTTTCTCGGATGGGAGGCTCTTTAGTGGTAGTGACGATAAGGAAGTATGAGGGTTGGGATGGACAGACCCAACCTGGCGGTCGTCATCAATGGAAAGGCGATTCAGAAGCTCAAATACTGTGTAGAGGCTGTATATACTCCTATAGTGGTGCCCTTTCACATTTGTGAATACAGCATTAAGTAGCGATGACAAGGCCAGCTGAAGGGTACTTGCAAGGAATAATGGCTGTAGATGGCTGTCTCCGGGGAGAGGTGAGTTAACCATGATGATTAGTGATAAATGTATTGACTTCTCTCGAGTACACTGTAGTGGGTCTGAGTTGAAGCATTTGATCCTATTGTTTCATCTGCAGTGTAATTACGATTATGACTTCGCTCCGCCCTAATATTATTCTGCTCAAGCAAGGAACGGATTCTTCCCAAGGTGGAGTTGTGGTCATTCTGAGGATTTGGTCTTCCGAAGTGGTCATTTCGTTTAGGTATTCCTCAGATTATTTCTAACATCAACGCCTGTGAAGTGATTGCGGATATCGTCCGCACGACGTTGGGTAGGAGTTGGAGAAGGAGTGGTATGAATAATTAATCCGTGGGCATGCGTGCAGGTCCGAGGGGCATGGACAAGCTGATTCATTCAGCGAACCGCGAACCGACTATCACTAACGACGGGGCTACTGTCATGAGTTTACTTAATATCAGCCATCCCGCGGCTAAGTTGATGTCGGACATCTCGAAGGCTCAGGATGATGAAGTGACGGAAATGTGGTATGATATATTCGGCGATTATTACTCTTATCAGGTCGGAGACGGCACTACGTCAGTGGTATTGCTCGCAGCTGAGTTGTTGAAGGAAGCGAAGATGTTCCTGGAGGAAGGCCTACCACCTCGGGCTCTTCTTAAGGGCTATCGGAAGGCACTTGAACTGGCACTGGGTAGTTTGGGGTTGCTGGAAGCGCTCGCCA